AATTAATACAAGAATATAAATGTTATAAAAGGGCTTATTAATTTGTCAAGACTAGATAATTGCAATAAGTTAAAAATGCTGATTTTATTGACAAACCAAGGTTAACACAAAATTTACAAATTACTAAACTTACATTTTGCTAAAAATACCATTATTATTCAGACAAAAAATATAAAATACACATTTTTCTCGTGAATTATGTATTGAATAGTAAAGGGGTTTTTAAAAGTTATTTTTCCACTTTGTGTTAAGTGTTTAAATAAATACTTGTTTTCAATACAAACAATATATAAGTTTTTATGTTTGTATAAAATTTTTCATTTAATGATTGATTAATTAATAAAGTTTTAATTGAAAGTTGTTTTGTTTTTTAATAATGAATATGTAAATGTTAATTTCATTATAGTGTATGTTTAAACATACATTTTGATGTTTTTTAGCAAGTTTGCTCAAAAATCTTATATGTGAATTTTTCAGTAATAAATTAGTATAAAATTTCCTAATAAAAATTTATTGGCAAATATTTTCATCTTAAATAAATATTATTGATAATTGATATGTAAATTAAAAATTACATTTGAAATTATAATCAACTTTCAAACCTTATAATTGTATTTTATGCTAAAATACATACATCTTATATGATTTGTGATAAACTTATTGCATGTGATGAAAACTAGCTAGTTTGATAAAATTGTTTTGTAACAAAGTTTTAAAATATTGTTAATAATTATAGTGATTAAAAATTAATCTACAAATTAAATTTGCGGTTATAATAATTATTAACTGTTTTGTGTTAAGATAATTACATTTCTCGAATTAAATATAAACAATATTTACATTTTAAAATGTGTCGAAAAATATATTATTTAACCATTTTATTTGTGTTTATTACAGCACTTGGTAAGTTTAAATTATTTTGTTGTTTTAAATATTTATAAACTTATTAAACATTTAATAATTAATTTAAAAATTAATTTTTTGTATTGTATATTAATAAATTAGAACTAGGCAATTAAAAAATTATAAATTACTTGTTACAAATTAATTAAGAATTATAAATATAGTAACATACTAATTACAAATATTATAATTTAGTAAATCAGGGACATGGAGCTAAAATCGAGCCTGGTGATAAATTGGCTAGATCCATATCCAGGGAAACCACCCGACTAATGTCAACCGTGTTAAAAAACCCCGACAAACTAGTATGCGGCAACACATCGGAAACCACCTTGGATACAGCGCTGCACAAACTACTAACCCAAAAATTCCCGACCACCTCACGCCAATTGCGCACATTTTGCAACATGGCCAGTCGCATATTAAAATTTGTGGACGTATTTATTAAACGTTGTCTCAATGAATTCACCAAGAAGATTGTCTCGTTTGTAATGTTCCCGATCAAACGCGAGTTTAGCACTGTATGCAAGTCCGGCAAACCGGGACCTAAGGCCAGGCAGCTTATGATCGCTGCCGAGTGCGGCAATAATGCCCGCCCGGGGCTACGCCGCTGTTATTATAGTTTCGTAGACCAGGAGCTGGGCATGCAGTCGGTAAACGAAAAAGTCCGTATACCTATGGTTTGTTGGTAAGTCAGCTTATTTTAATATAATTTACTTAATATAATGTAATATACTTTAAATATTTTAATCTATTGTAAATTTAGATAGTTTTATTCTCAAATTTAAGCATGCAATAAAAATGTCACAATAATTACAAAAATACTTCAGTAATACTACTATTATTAAAATTAAATACAAAATTTTTAAAAAAATTATACCAATTTAGTTAATAATTTTGTTTTGCAATTTATTAATTATTTTATGTATCTTAGGCATGATTAACTGATTTTAAAATTTGTTCCCTGCACATTAAAGCGCGTTTAATCAATTACGTCAGTGCTTTATATCGGAGGCCGAGGAAGTGAAACAGTGCACTCCCCGTACCATTGACTATATGGCCCGCTGGGCCACAGAGATATACGGCGAGCTCATGGATATTATGTGCTATGAATACCCTGAATGTAAGCGTTTACCATGTTAATTTTTTAAACCAAAATAATTTTACTAATTAATCATGTTCAATTATTAGCGAGCGATCGATGTGTCAAAGTGATCAGCGAAATACCCGAAATTGATAACAACACGGTTAGACCGCAATCATTCATATCGCCGTTAATCACACTTCTCGGTAATCTTGGCGATGATGAGGGTCAACCCGCTTAAGTTCACCATAATCAATATAATACAAGTGGTTACAAGCATGAATGTTTTAATTACAAATAAATAATAAATTTTATAATAAGTGAAAAGTTGCTGCAATTATTTAAAGGTTTAAACAGAATTAAATTAAAAATAAATTTTACCTTGAAACAATAAAGCACACATTAAAATATTACATTTTTAAAATTAACTACATAAATAAAATAAAAAACTAATTAATAAACACACCGAGCGACCCTGATCATCACAACTCCCTTGCCAGGCAACAGGCGCTCACCACCAATAGTAACTGTATGACTACCAGCGCGATGGCCACACCGCCGATGCCCCACAAATAATTGTTTATCGTATCCCTAATAGTGTCGGCACAGCCTTTGCTAAACTGAACAAACATTTTGGGACACGTCTTATCTGCCGCCTTACCGGTGGCCCACTGGTCGCAACACGAGGCCGGCACAGACTCGCCACTAAAATCTGACCGGTAGTCTGTAACACCGCAGCACCGGAACCGTTGCTGTAGCACCTGTACGGCCCGGGCATTCGGTCCATTCCACTTACCAAACTCACGGCTCAGCGCAGTTTTTAGCTCGTTCTCAATCTAGATTATTTGGTTATTTAAATATTTAAACTTAATTGTTGAGTAGATACCTATACATATATGTGATTAGTATAATTTTTATTATCTAGTGTAGTAACAGGCTATGGGCCATTTTAAGTGCCAATTATATTTTAATATGCTTTGTAATTTATACCTTATTCACGGCATAATCATAGATAGTGTATATTAATATGAGTTTTGGGGGTTGAAAATTTTTTTGAATCATCATTAAAAATAAACAGAGGGCAGGCAATGACTATATGGCAGTAACGTTTATCATGAATAATAGTTTACATATTAACAAGGTGAATTATAAACCACGTCAATTTTGTTTAGAGCCCTCCAAATATGTGCCGGTTCATAATCTAGTCACTAGATTCTAGTGTGTCTATTCTGACTTGTATTTTATTTTGCGAAATTATGATGGTTATTATAATAATAGCAAACAAAGCTTACCTCGTTCTTATATATAAACACCAAGACAACACCCACTATTTCCACAATTACTAGTATAAGAATTATACCGGAGTACTATGTAAAAATGATGAAATAGATGCGTTAAGTAATTAATTAAGTAACAAGTATATTTGCGTGAATGTGAGGGGTAGGGTAACACATACGGTGGACAGGAGGCACACGTTTTGAGTGATAGCACCGCAACAGCCGATGAAAGCCATGATTAATATGAGAAAACCAACGGCAATGACAATACCGGCGCCCGTTTTAATGCTGTTGTTGTATATGTGCTCAATATCTCCGGACCAGTCAATGCACTTGAAGCCCAACACTATGATCACCACTGCAAATATCTGCCATGGTGGTTTTGTAATTAAATTTTGTAAACTAACTTAATTAGAGAGAGAGAGAGAGAGAGAGAGAGAGAGAGAGAGAGCACTTACCAGCCATAGTATGTTGAAGATGAACAATAGATATTTAATACAAGCGGCACCGCATGATATTTTAGCACCCATCACTAATTATATTACATTAAGTTAAAATTAAGTTAATAGTTTACATACACTTACTAAAACTGGCAAAAATACTTTTATTTAGTTAATCGCACAATAATTTAACATTTATTTACTTAAATGTTGCTTAAGTGTATTGAAAAATTAAACTTCTGATTAACTGTGTTACCAAATGAGAATATAGATATTCCCTATTAAATAGCATTATTGACATTTCAAATACAACATTTACAAGATTTATGTTGAATGTAATAATAAAATCCTTAGTTCCTGATATAAAGTCCAGCAAAAATCTATTTAATTATGTTTTGCTCAATTAAATTGAATAGCAATTACTATTTAAAAACACAATAAAACCAATGGTTGCTAAAACACGAAATGAAAATGAAATGTTTTTATCAGTGCAATGAATAACAAGTAATAATTTACTACAGTATGTGCTTTAATCACTTGGACACCACTTCCTTCCATAATAATGATATAAATATTTATTTTTGGTACAAATAATGCAATTATAAATGTAAGATATTAACTGCACTCGCTATTACGAGCTAGATCTATTGTGATAAAATATTGTAACAATTAATTCTTATAAAAATTAATAAACTTTAAACTAGTGCTGACAAACTGGCAATAAAATATAATAGTTAGTTTTAATTTTTATTAATATTAAAATTAAAGCATATAATTGGGGGGGGGGGGAAGGCATTAATTTTGCTTATAGTACTAATATATTTTACCACAATTTTAAAGCTTTTTGTGTATAATTAATCTAATAAAGATTAAATCATAATTAACATAATCACATCTTTATGAAACGGCATATTTTTGTTTTATTTTCCATTGTCTACCAGCTTGGTCAACTCTGATTCGCTTCGAGTTTGTATGGATTGAGTGTTCATGGTTGATTTACAATATCCACTTGTGCATGGTGAAGTATTTTCAAGTACTGTATTGACACATGGTTTGCCGGTCATTTGTGCGTCAATTTGACTTGTATTAGGCCTGACGCATTCATCAAATGCATGTAGCTCATTTAATATGTCTAACTGTTGTTTAATTTGACTCGGGTTCAATTGCTCGTGCGGTTTTTCAGCGTATAAAGTGGTTATTTGTAATGATTTATTAGGCAATTCATTTAGCCTCCCATATATCAACGCACCACGCATAATTGAGTCATCTTGATAATTTTTAAAGTGTACAGTTATACCATGCAGAGAACTGTGTTCCCATAACTTATCGCGTCCGAGTATAGTGGTATGACCTAGTTTATTGGTCGGCACTCTTTTTTAGCATATCACATAAACAGATTCACAGTATGCCATAAAAAGGTGGCGCAACGGTTAGTAAAAAAGTTTACGTCAATATTAAACAGAAAACACTATGTAAAGATCAACCTAGTAGTTTTTACCCATTTTTATAGTGGTTGGCTTTCAGTCTATCCACAAAACGTAACTTAAAATAAAATTTAATTATTAAATACACATTTTAATGAGATTTTTGATATTGTTTGCGATTATCTACAATTTTATTAATATTTGACTTAATCGTATTTGATTACCATATTTTCAAACGTGATCTTAATGTTTTTGTGCAAATACTACTAGTTTTGTCATTTTTAAGCGATTTCATTAAAGAAAAAAAATTGTTCACAATTAAAAGTAGATTCAAAATATGTCAGAATTGTTAATGCATTATTTATTAATAATGGAATTCGTTAATGTTAAGTTGAGAGTTACAAACTTTATGTGAACTTTGAAAATGTCTGTTAATTGTCAATTTAATCAATTAAATTATGGATATATTTATGTTAGATATTTTAGTTGAACATATGGCTACACTAAGTATAGCCGCTATACTAGACTGCCTAGCAATAACCTAGTTGATATATAATTAAATAATATTATTTCAAAATATACACAATTTATAAATTATTATGTACCACAAACTATTATATTATTAATGATTGGACCATGTAGGCAAAGTAGAAGCTTAATGTTGTCGATAAGATTATCCCGGGCACTTTTATAGATTAATTGAAATTCATTAGTCGATTCAAATTGATTATGCTCGTGCGCTAGGTAATGAATCTCCTGCTGATTTTTCATCTGAATTACTGCTATCTGATACCACTGATCGAATGTGATCCCGGTACTTTTATAAAACATTATCAACATCAAACAGTTTGGAACGAGTTGGCGTGCGTTACATGTGTCGATATCAAACGCGTGGTCAATAAATACGGCGCTCATCTCGGTGATTGTACGAGCATGGTGAATGCCGGCCAACTCGGCCACACTGGCCAATCGGGCCTTCAATTTGCCCATGTCGGTTTCTGAATCGTTTCTAACGATGAATATGGTGTTATTTATGACAGTTTTCAGTTGACCGATTGCGTGGCGTATAATGTGCCGCACCTGTAACGCTATCATTGACTCAACGTATAAATCATACCGCTGTTTTTTGGTTACCAAGCGCACTTTTAGTCGGCATTGCTCATGCACCCGCATAATCCAAAATGGATACATGTAGCTCAATTCTTTTATTAACTTATTTGTGGTCAGCAATTGTACTAGATCAAACTGGTATTGATAGGTATAATAAGCTTGGGCATCAGGGCCATACAAAAATGTACTAGTTGACTCGTCAAAAGCAATTGAGTTGAGAAATGGCATACCTTGGGTGTCTGTCACATCTGTTATGCCTGTTGTTTTATCATTATAATAAGCGCATTTTAAAAGAATCTTGTCAAAATAAATGGCAATCGTGCTAGAGCTTGCTTGTACAAACTCTGGATGCCCATCAGGTACACTTTTATCATCTAGTTGATTTGCATTCGCGGTCACAATCTCATTGTTTAAGTTATGTAACCTATCCAGTACATCTCTGTGAATGACTTTTAAATGATCAGGCTTTAATAAGGTGTGTTCGGCCACTTCCTGTTCAAAAACCTGTCGGTAGTTTTCAACTAATTTATCCACAATACTCACTTGAATTTGTTTGATGCGATATTGGTACTGATTTTGAGCTTGGTACTTTTCAAACTGGCTGTTTATGGCAATATAATAAGCTCTTTTACATTTTTCAATTATTTCAGATTTGATTTGTTTGCTTAAATGAAATTCGTTGAGTGTTTTCCAGATGCTTTTTCTGATAATTTTATGTTCTTGGTACAATTGATAATCATCAGAGAATATCTCATTTTGCAATAGTTGTGACATTTTAATTATATATTCGCTTTTACCTTCATTAGCACAATTATTATGGTCGTAATTGTTATCAGTCTTATTGGCATTACCTGCAATACTTTCAATTGTTTTTAATAATGTGGTAACTTTATTAGTTAATTTTTTAGACATTGTCAATTAATTGTTATAAACTTAATGACTTTTATTAAACACTTATTTTAATATCTATTATAATTTAACATTAATATTTTTATTTAATACATAAAATGTACAACAATTTATATAACAAATTAAATCAAGCTAATGAATAATTAGTAATGATCAATATAATAATATAAATATTAAAATGTTTGTAAAATTTCAAATAATAGGAAAATGCATATCAAATAACTGGTATAAATAAATGCAAAGTCTAATTTGTTTTACTGCTTGCATGGATTTAATTCTAGGATTTATATTTAAATAACTATTATATTATTTTACAAATATTGGATAGAGTTTATCCGATAGACACAATATAATTTAAAGCTTTAAAACTTACTATTAGTTTAAACTTAATTGGCATTAAATTTTTAAAGCAACATATCATAATGACAAACTTTAATTTACAGTATTTATTTAACAATTTAAATATCTCATATTGCATATTGCAATTGTTTATTAAATTAACATTTAGGCAAACAAACTATAATTTACAATTTTACCTCAAATATTTTGCGAGTAAATTCTTATCATTAAGTGTAGTGACTAAAAAAATTAATACTGCATTTTATTTGGACTTTGTTCCATTTAGATGTATGATGTTTGTTATTATTTATAAATACACCTGCTCATATTACTTTTGCATAATATGCGCATAAACGATAATAGTTTACCATATTGTTTATATTGTCATACAATGTATGGCATACATGTTTTGAAATATTACGTCGAATAATGTTTTAATAAAAATTTCAAAGTTATGTTTTCAATTATGTTATATATCTTACAATTGTGAACATCTAACAAGAAACTTATAAGTTATAACATAACAATCACATCATAATGGCCTCAAACAATAGCCGTAGCGTTCAAACGGCAAATGGTTTGCCTTCAGTGCGCCCGAGAATTAGCCGTAGACCCAATGGTCACACATCTCATACCATCTCGCCTCACATCCGGACATTTTTAAGTACCCGTCTCTCTCTCTCTCTCTCTCTCTCTCTCTCTCTCTCTCTCTCTCTCTCATTTGTGTTATGATTTAAGTTCATATAAATATGTTTAAAAATATTTATTTTCTAATAGTTAATCAGAAATTTAAAATTACATAACATAAAAAATTATAATTACAAATAATTAGTAAATATACTAACTTAATTTCTATGTTATTAACCAAGTTGTAATGTTAATAAACTAATTAATTACAGCTACACGGAAAGATACACAATCTAATACACCAATTGATTTGGCCCAAGTTAAACTAAAAGTTGACAACTTATTGGTTGAGAAACAAGAGGCAGAAAAAAGATACAGTGATAAATTCACTACAGTCAAGGAAAGAATAGCCTATCTAACCGATAACGACCATGATGATGTGGTACGGGCTTGCACAAACGCTGATGAGGGTCGATACATATCTAAATACACTTATGGCCATAATAATGACCATGATTTGGTACAGTATCATGATTATCTAGCGCATTGCGTTGAGAAAAACAAACAATTCCACGATATCAATTTGAAAAAACTATACGCCCGACTCCGCGAACTATCCAATGAGTAAACAATAATCATAATTTAGTTAATCTAATTACATTACACTTTTAAACTGTAAATAAACATGGCTATTATACCATGCTAAACTAAAGGCTCACGTGCGCTATATGTCTGGAGAAACTTTCGAGGGACAGATTTATATCGTGCGGTTGTTGGCATAAAAATTGTGACGTCTGTTTGGCCAAACACTTTACCACAATTATTATGGAGGGCACAGTGGGCAACATCAGCGAACAGGTCAAGTGTCCATCTATAGGGTGTGACAAAGAGGCCCCACAAGTGCTCATTGAACGGGTGGTTAGCGCCGAGACGTACCGGCGATACGAGTATTTGGCACTCAGGGAGGCAATCGGTAAAGAGGTCGATGTGGTCAGTATGAGCCTTATATAATTGTTATATGATTCATCTGGGTAATAGATGGGCTTATTTTTAAACTAGTATTTAAATCACTAGCGGTTTCATTGAATTTAATAATTGCTTAAAAATTTATTTATTTTAAACTAAAAAATCCTTTTATTACAAATTAATAATATTTTAATTGTGATATTTTAATTGACAATATTTTTGTACATACAGTGTTACTGTCCAATGGAGCAATGCACCTGGTTTGTCGAGATGAAATGCGCTGTGGGCGCCACATGCGGTAAATGTGGATACAATTTTTGTACACGATGCCGCAAACGTTACCATGGTGATTGCGACTACGACGAGGCCCGTGAACGCCAAAAAGTCGAGCATGAACAAATGTCCAGCACCACGGTTACGAATACTACCAAGACATGCCCCACTTGTTCAGCGCCCATTGAGGTGAGCTGAGTGCCATACAGTTTATATTGCAAAATATATTAATAATTGTTGTTGTATCTTGTTAGAAAAATGAAGGTTGCGACTATATTATATGTACCAAATGCAACAATCAGTTTTGTTGGCTATGTAGGGCTAGATGTGTCGGACACAGGCACGTCGCACCGGCCCAGTGTTTACTTGCTGCAGCATAATCTTATGGGATTGTTATTTGTGATTGTTCTTGAACATTTATAAAGCTTTAATACATCGAATAACAATAAAATATCACAAACCTTATTTAAGCATATTTAATAATAATTATTATAAATTGTTTTTGTCTATTGTAAATTGCTGTAATCTGCTATTAATTAAATACAACGAGATTTACAAAGTTAGAAATAAAATTTTATTTCACAACATGCATTTTGTATTTGTTAGCATTATTATTAATAATATGGATTAATACTAAAAACATAGTTCGTAGTCGCATTTCTTGCCATAAATACTATAATTCCAGTGGCTTAGCATAACTATAGTTTATTAAGCGGGAGGGGTTACAGTTTTAAATGAAATGTGTAAAATGTTTATAATATTTAAACTAAATTAAAATAATAAATAATTAAAAATATAATTGTTCATAATTATTATTCAATATTTAAGCAATAGATGGTAACACTAGAGGGTGTTTCTTATGTCAACCAACCGTCTCCGGTAACTATCAATCTCGTCATCATTGGTATCGCGAGTGGATGTCAAGTACTTATTAAAATCGGACAATTGGTCGAGCTTGGTCAATTTATCCGACTCGGACAATGTTGAATTTCTAATCGCCTTTTTCATCTTGATATACTCTACCGATAGAGTGCCCCTTTTTGCGGCCATTTCGCGACTAATCGGGGGTCGGGACGGTAAGGCCGCTACCGGGGCTGCAGGGGTTGGGTGCGAGTGATCTAGCTCAACAAATTGCACACTAGTGTCTCTTTGCTTCAAGTGGGCAAACGTCCCGTTGGCCACCAGTTGGTCAAATAGGTGGTCGTCCGGGGGTACGGCCGGCAGGTCTTGTCTCAATTGAAAACTATGCGCCACACGCTGTCTGCGGAATTCACCCAGCTCATTATCTATAATGTTCATTTTGTAATTATTAATCAAGCGCTTAACACCAATTGATTCATACCTTGGAATGTGGTGTTTGGGCCGTCATTGACCGCCAATACGCTAACGTTATAACGTCCGGCACCGCAATAATCAGTAAAATAGTTATAATAATAGCCGTCGGTGTGATAGCGGTCGAGGGGTGTATGGGTTTGGGTGCCATCCGGTCGGTCAACCGTAGCCGTGAGGTGGGCGCCCAACACTGGTCCGCCAGCCTTGTCCAGTCGGCACACCAACAGTGGTGGGCAATTAGCCTCCTGGCCCCTAATACCTACGTACAACTCAATGGCCGACCCACTGCCTGTGCCAGACATTTCACTTTCGACCACCACCTGAGCCCTAATGGCTTTGCGTATAACACCCGGCTGTTTGGTAAGCAGAAGTCGCCAGACACCCGGCGCGCACTGCCTCACATTCAACCTAGCGCGTTTTAAACTATCATCCATGACAAATTGGTCGGCCATAGCGCCTGCGGGTGACTCAAACGTGATAATTAATGAGCCGATGTCGTGCGACAGCACTTGTACGCTAGTGTTACGGCCAANTTTAGTTTAAATATTATAAACATTTTACACATTTCATTTAAAACTGTAACCCCTCCCGCTTAATAAACTATAGTTATGCTAAGCCACTGGAATTATAGTATTTATGGCAAGAAATGCGACTACGAACCATGTTTTTAGTACTGATCCATATTATTAATAATAATGCTAAAAATACAAAATATATGTTGTGAAATAAAATTTTATTTCTAACTTTGTAAATCTCTTTGTATTTAATTAGTAGCAGATTACAGCAATTTACAATAGAAAAACAATTTATAATAATTAATATTAAATATGCTTAAATAAGGTTTGTGGTATTTTATTGTTATTCAATGTATTAAAGCTTTATAAATGTTCAAGAACAATCGCAAATAACAATTCCATAAGATTATGCTGCGGCAAGTAAACACTGGGCCGGTGCGACGTGCCTGTGTCCGACACATCTAGCCTTACATAGCCAACAAAACTGATTGTTGCATTTGGTGCATATGATATAGTCGCAACCCTCATTTTTCTAACCAGTTAAAACAAAAATTATTAATATATTTTGCAATCCAACTGTATGACCCTCAGCTCACCTCAATGGGCGCTGAACAAGTGGGGCACGTCTTGGTAGTATTCGTAACCGTGGTGCTGGACATTTGTTCATGCTCGACTTTTTGGCGTTCACGGGCCTCGTCGTAGTCGCAATCACCATGGTAACGTTTGCGGCACCGTGTACAAAAATTGTACCCACATTTACCGCACGTGGCGCCCACAGCGCATTTCATCTCGACAAACCAGGTGCATTGCTCAATTGGACAGTAACACTGTATATACAAAAAATATTGTAAATTAAAATATCACAATTAAAATATTATTAGTTTGTAATAAAATGAATGTTGAGTTTAAATAAATTTTTAAGTAATTATTAAATTCAATAAAACCGCTACTGATTTAAACAGGAGCTTAAAAATAAGCCCATCTATTACCCAGATGAATCATATAACAATTATATAAGGCTCATACTGACCACATCGACCTCTTTACCGATTGCCTCCCTGAGTGCCTTGAGATGTATATCAGAATTTTTCTTGTAAACAGGGTAAATATGAGTATTGTGCT